ACGGGCAGTAACTACATAGTTACAGGGCACAATGCCATGACTTCCCTGAACGACGTTGGAAGATGCACTGCCAATCATGCGGCAGAAGATTGATTGATTGATGGAGATACCCGCCCGCGGCCGTGTCCAACTTGACGCTCCTTCAGGCTCTCGCACCTAATTGAGCAACAATAGCGCCGATTCTGGAACTCTTCTCCGCAACTGTGCGGACCAACAGCGGCCAATCCAGCCCGTCTCCACGTCGCCATCTTTGACACCACAACGCGTGAACATCCAGCCATGTGAAAGATCTCTGGGGAATGGCCGCTTTGAGCTTATCTCGTCGGCCACACCTGCATCAAGTTATTTTTATCCCGCTGCAGACGGGTGGCCAGGCCCTTGCCAGAGCCAAAGCATGCCCATGTGCAAAACACATTCTACGCGCCCGGTTTCTTGGTCACGATGCAAACGAAATTGAGGCATGCATATGCGGCCAATGACATCAGGGTCTTCCTACCGTTCCTCCTACACGGCCATCACGATACTTCCCGCATTGGGTCATTTCGAAGCGCCACGTTTGGATGTCGTTACTCGAGCCGCACACATGGCAACGTGGGTTGGCTTCATCTGGACTCATAGCCAAGCCCTCAAACCAGCCGCCCGGCTTCAAAATGAGCGCTGTCGTCCGAGGTGATTGGCCATCTTACAAGTCAACTGGTCGCATCCCACGACGACCCATCCCTCATCTTGCTTCTGTTAAACAAAGATCCCATGTTGCCGGCATACATGCGTCATGTCCATGCATTGGTCACCATGTTGCCTCACATCTTTTGCAGCCAACAGGCCGGACCCACGCGTCCCAAGTCGCAGGGTGTTGCTGCATCTTGGAGAGGATATTTTCAGCTACCGGTTGCTATATTAAGTGACATGTTCGTTAGAGCCGCCGATGAGCTGCAGGAATTCTTTTCGGAACCTCGTTCCTAAAGACGATCCACGCCTTGGCTGCCTACTCATCTATTACGACAGCCATTGTCGGATGGTCTAACCCCAGACGACACCCGAACTTGACTTGCATATTTGGGCACGCCTCCTCGATGTACCCCCATTATGATACAGGCTTGACCAAGGATCTGTTTGGAAGCGCCGAGGCGTCATGTATCCACACTCAAGAGACGTCGTTCGGACCATCTCGCACCTAGTATATTACATGGCATTTGATATAAACTTTCAGCGCTTCATGCTCCAGAAATCCATACAAGATTCACTGTCACTGGTCGAAATTGTTCCGCAAGATCATCATTGGAGGCTCAACTGCATGTTTCAGGATCTATTTGGCAAGATTTGTTGGTCCGAATCTCGGGTTTTTTATGCGCCGCTATCCTCCTTTGCCCCTGGACAAGGGACGCATCCTGAGGACTTCTGCCCTAAAGGCCAGAACCCTGGCTTCCCGGATGATGAAACGCCATCTCATCATCTTCAACCTTTGTTTCCAAGCCCGAGCACCACATCGAATGACGCGTGGCTCTTGTCCCCAGCTGCTAACGGGCTAATGAGCCACCTGGTACTTTTGAAATGAAGGGATCTAGGGACGAAAATCTTGCATATTCATCATTCCAGTAATAGTTACAGATCCCCACGGCATACCCCCCCCCCCCCCCCCTTTTTTTTTTTTTTTTTTTCCTCTC